GCTATAATTTAAATCATTTTTTTCCTTTGTGGTGCTTGGGATTGAGCCCAGGGTCTCATATATGCTAGGCAAACACTCTACCACTGAGCTATATAACAGCTCTAATTTTAAATCTTAATAACACTAACATGTGTGACCATTCCAGATCAGTTACTGTAATTTGGTACTGTGGACTGAACTCAGGGGCACTAGACCACTGAGCCACATCCCCAGCTCTATTTTGTATTTTATTTAGAGACAGGGTCTCAATGAGTTTCTTAGCATCTCACATTTGCTGAGCCTGGCTTTGGACCTGTGATCTTCCTGCCTTTGTCTCCAGAGTCTCTGGGATTACAGGTGTATGCCACTGTGCCCAGCAGTTACTGTAACTTTGATAATACCATTTTATAGAATTTCTTGTGATTTCAGTCAAAGGACATGAAATTTACCTGAATTTACGAGAACAATTATTCAACTCCATTCAACAGCTAAAATCTAGTCACATTCTCCATCTCAGCAACAAAAAAGTCACAATGTCAGTTGAGATGTCTTGGTGACCAGTTTCTTTAAATTGTTCTTAGCTGTATGGTTTCTTTGATAACAAATGATACAGACAGCAAATGCCTATAATCCCTGTGACTCAGGGGGCTCAGGTAGAAGGTCACAAGTTCAAGGACAACTTCAGCAACTTAGTGAGCTCTGTCTCAAAATAAAAAAACAGGGCTGGGGATGTAGCTCAGAGGGAGAGAACCCCTGGGTTCAATCCCTAGTTACCCCCACCTTCTCCCACATACACACAAGTCACAATTGCTATAAACATTTTATCATGGGGGTAAAATTCTAGGTGAGCTTTTTTTTTTTTTTTTTAATAGGACACAAGTTTGTGTTTATTTCTTCCCAAATACATCATAATCTGGCACAAGAAACCACATGCTCTCAGAAAAGGCAGAAAGTGATTCTTGTCACAAATTGGGTCAGATTTGGAAAGGTATGAAAGAGAAAGGATCACAGGCATTCTGGATGAAGGTAACAGCTTGAGTAGAAGCACAGATATTCCAACTCTAGGCCATTGACATGGCTCTCCCTGCCTCATCTGAACTCTGTCCCTCAGGAAAATGTAAATTTAAAACCACAAACAACCCCACAGTCACATGGGCCAAGGACACAAATAATCATCTTGCAGTGAAGGTAACCAGGAAAACCAATAGACCTAAGGGAAGGTGTGTGCAGCATTCCCAGAGTCAGGGATGGCTGTCTAGGTGAGCCTTTGAGCTCTAGGAGATAGGCAGGTAGAAAAGGTATCAGCTTGTGAGATTATAAGAAGCCTGTTTCATAATCATTCCTCCCCTTTCTTGTGCATACAGAGTGTACCAGCTGTGCTGTATCTGAATTTTATCAGGAAAGGGAATTACCAGGCAAATTCAACCAAATAACTCAAGAATCACTAATTGATGGGTAGGTGTTCATTACCCTAATTTTCAAGTCTTCATTTTTACCTTTTAGAAAATCAAGTCTCTATTTTTGTTGTTGTGGTGGTGGTACTGGGGACGGTACCCAGGTCCTTAGGCATGCCACAGAAGGGCTCACCACTGAGCAACACCTCAGCCCCTCTAAAATCTCTATTCATATCATTATTGTATCTATGTTGAAAAAGGGTCTTTTAGGGCTAGTGTTCAGAATTTATAGCTTTACCTTCATACACTTGTAGTAATCACTTCCATTGTTTTCACTGGGAATTTCTTCATTAAAGTTGACTGAAAAAAAATTTTAGACACTGTTTTTCAAAGAAAATGAAATTATATATGCTTTTTAATTTTTACTATTATTATTTTTTGGCTTTTATTCTTACCAAGCTGTTCTAAGGGAAGTCATATTCAATTTTAAGGGGCTATCCAGTTTCAGATGGGAGTCATGTAACTGTAATAATGTGCTTAGGGAAGGAAGCAGCTTTGGTCACCAAATCTACTCAGATAAGGCAGGATTTTTCTTTTAACATTCTTTGGGGCTCAGTTAACTATGCTTAAATCCAATTTGCAGGACTAGTATTAGTTATGAAATGAATATTTGTAGGCTGCTATCCCCACACCCCGCCCCCAAGGAACAATCCATGTGTTGAAGCCCTAACCGTCATTGGTGGTTAGAGGAGGAGGACTTTTGGGAGGTGATCGGGTTTAGATGAAGTTGTGAGGGTTGAGTACTAGTCTGTGGGACTTCCCAACTTACAGTACTGTGAGAAATAATTTTATCTTTTTTTTCTGTTTGCTTCTTTTTGAGATGGGGGTCTCAGTATGTTACCCAGGCTGGTCTCAAACTCCTGGGCTCAAGTGATTTTCCCACCTGAGTAGCAGGCACTACAGGTATGTGCTACCAAGCCCAGCTTTTAAATATCTGTTTTAGTTTGTGGTGGTTTGTTATTGCAAGCCAAATGAAAACATCATTTTGATGCAATTTTAAATGCAATTTTCTTGGAGCATGGCAAATTACACTTGTGTACGACAGAGAAAGAAAAAATTCCTATATAAACCCACTGATCCAGTGGGGAGCCATCACCTCCACAAACCTTGAATTCATACACAAAGGTTAAAGGCAAAAATGGTAAAGTAGAAAATTAAGAATTTCCCTATTAGTTAAGGCGTTTACAAATACAAAGATCACATCAGTAATTTTTCTTAAAGAGCTATTTTCTCAGTTTTGGCTTCCTGCATAATGCAATTTCTTGTCTACAGAGCAATGAGTATCCATCTTTCTTCCTATTAGCTTTAGAAAAGCAAAACCTGGGCATAAGTAGCTCAGGTGGTAACTCTTTAAGATAATTTTTAGCTATTTAGGTAACACTCAATATTTACAATAGGGGAGAAAAACCTATTTCAGATGGCATCACATTAAGACTCTTCTTTCTCTGTAGCATCTTAGAATCAAACCTTAGGAATCATGACTACTATACATTAGCATAAGCTGTTTTAAGAACTTGCCTCTTAGCTTGGAAAAATCCCCCAAACAGGCCCTAATCTTCTGGATCAATAACCAAGAAAGACTTTATTATATGTGGCTCAGATCATAAATATGAATTGTAAGTTTGCCCAATTGCAGCTTTTATAGGTATTCTCCATTCAGAACATCTCATTGACTCCCTGAACTCAAGGGAGAAAAAGAACAAGTTGATGGATAGACATATTTAAGAAGGCTTTAAAAAGTAAGTCCTTATCTTTTCATTATGTTAGTGAATATTTTTAATGAATATTTGATTTTGCTCTGTACTTTGGTAGACTTAAAATATTAGAGGTAGACCTAAACAAGAACACTTTCGTGCTTTTGCTCTGTCATGCATTTCAGTTTTAACATTAAAGTATGAAAGAAATGTGAGTTCATTTTCGTGGACAATAATGTAACTTTATTGTGTGCAATCTTTTCCACAACAATTAGTTTTTCCATGTGAAATAAGTGAAGGTTTAAAATGCCAAAGTCATTGTGAAAAAGACATTGGGCAAGAGAAAAAACTGAAGAGAGTTTTTGGTTTTTGTCTGAAAGTGGAAAACAGAATCTGAGTCTAGGAGAGAAAAATACCACAAAAACAGCTTTGGTGACCAGAGACAGTGACGCAGAGTGAGGGCCAGGGAACTAATCTTGGAAAGGAAGGTAGGATTTCATGTGGATGTTTTAAGGTATTTGCTTGGCAATATTAGTCTCAAAATTTCCTTCTGTGTTGCTGCTACAGCTTTTGGTTTACCCTGCTGTCTTAAATTTTATTATGTAACATAATAATTGTTTAACTTAACACAAAGTCCACTTGGATAAGAGCAAAGAAAGGTTCTATGCAGAGCATAAAGTTTATTTGGGGTCTGGGTTGTGCCTTGGAGGTACAGCACTTGCCTTGCATTTGATTCCCAGCAGCACCTCCACTCCAATGACAACAAACACAAAACAAGTTTACTGAAAAAAAAAAAAAAAAAAAAATCCTGTCTTGGTTTTTTTAGTGAGTAGATTCCTATAGGAAAAATCAGTACTATGAGTTTATTGCTCTGCTGCAGAATTGGAATTTAGGCCCACAGTAAACTGAGTTAAAGAGAAATCTAAAGGTTCACTTAAAAAAAAAAAAATCACCAGATGAAACAGGCTATGGAGGAGCCTTTTCCCCAAGGCCAAATTTAAGTACCTCATAGCACCAGAGCAGAGCAGCTGTCCTCAAACGCTCTGCCTGAACTGACTCCTCTTCTGCAGTTTCTTTATGGCCACATTAGCACCAGCTCTCTTCCCTACTGAACTCTAAACAGCCACTGTGACATGTCTATTTGTCATCTGCAGAAAGGTGATCAATAAAAGAGGCAACATCACTACCCCTTATTAGAAACATGAGAATCAAAAAGATGCCTGGCTAGGCCAGATGCGGTGGCACACACCTCTAATCCCAGTAGGCTGAGGCAGGAGGATTGTGGTTCAAAGCCAGCCTCGGCAAAAGCAAGGTGCTAAGCAACTCAGTGAGACCCTGTCTCTAAATAAAATAAAAATAGGGCTGGGGATGTGGCTCAGTGGTCGAGTGCCCCTGAGTTCCCGCCCCTAAAAAAGATGCCTAGCTGGGCAGGAAGCACTTGACATTAAATTCAGTTTCTTAGGAGGCTGAGGCAGGAGGACTACAAGTTTGAGTCCAGCCTCTGTGATTTAAGAAGTCCCTGTCTCACAGCAAAAAATAAAAAGATTTGTTCAGTTGTAGAGTGCCCCTGGGTTTAATGCCAGTCTGCGTACATGTGTGCATTCGTGCACATATACACACACACACACAGAGTCTGAACTCACTTTATGTTCTAATTGGCAACTATACCAAAATAGTTGTGTGCTGAAATGGAATTTAGACTCTAATTAATACAAGATACAAAAACTTGCATTAAACCAGGCTGGCGGCAGATGCCTATAATCCCAGCCAATAGGGGAGGCTGAGACAGGAGAATGGTGAGTTCAAAGCCAGCCTCAGCAATTTAGTGAGGCCCAAAGTAACTCAGGGAGATTCTGTCTCTATAAAACATAAAAAGGGCTGGGGATGTGGCTCAGTCATCAAGTGCCCCTGGTTTAATCCCCAGTACCAAACAAACAAAAACAACTTGTAATATACATTAGACCAGTGTAGTCACACTGAAAAATTTTTTTGGTACTCTCTAACTGAAGATTAGAAAGGAAAACAAACCCAAATGGGGGAATATAACATAAAGAGGCAGAAAGCTGGGAACTTTGAGGCCTGGTATACAAAGATAAAGGAATTACTGTGTCGTATTTCCTTGGCCTTGAGGCATGCAGGCAAAGGCAAGGTCACACCTTATAGGGAGGCAGAGGATCAAAGTTGACTCAGGGCTCCAGGAAAATATTTACCAGAGGAATTTGATGATTCATTTATCAGTTCAGAAATCCCAAGTACAAAATTTTAAGATATAAGAAGGATCAAATTATATCATGTATATGATTCAATTTAAAAATTCTTGGCCCTCTTACATTATATTATCTAGATTATAATAGTAAAAAAATCAAATTACATTCATATGAAACTTTTATCAAAAGAAATCAAATCCATTTTTATGAAATTTTATAGTACAATTATTTTCAATTAGGTCTTTTTAGGTCACAGTATTTATAATTCCATTTACATAAGTATAAGTTTTAAAATAAAAAAAAAAAGAAGTCAATAGAAATCTAATTTTTCATCTGCAAACTCCCTTCAGTTTCCAGGCCAGTAACACATGGCGACGTCGACTTGTCCTCCAGACATGGACTGCTACCAAAGATCCTGTTTATGGAGCACACAGGCCTCGACTCATTAGGAACGCTTTTTGGTTTGGCTCACGTTTCAAGAAATTCTGGAGCATGTCCATGCCGTCCAGAGATCCCCCGGGTTTCAGGATTAGGTTTCTATATTTCATTCCAACCTAGTAAAATAAAACATCATGCCTAATAATTCATGGTCATAGCAATTTTCCAAATCTCTAGAAGCAAAAGACAAAGGGGTAAGGGTAAAGAGAAAGGGGATTCAGCTTTACTCACTCTACACCGTCTCTTCTGCCAATGCTACAACTCTACAGTATTTGTTCTTTTATTTATTTTGGTAGCTAAAAGATTCGGAGCTTCAACCTCAGGTCTTCTACGCTATCCTCTACTTTTGTCTTATTTCCTTAGATTCTCAGTAGTGAGCTGACACCATGGGCAAGCAAACAACAAAAAATACACAACGCAATGCATAGCATGGTCCTATTTGTTACCCTGACTCAAACTGTTAGCAGAGTATCAGGAGCAGTGGTCAGGCTTGTAATCACAGCAACTTGGGAGGCTGAGGCAGGAGTATTGCAAGTGCCTTGCCAGCCTTAGCAACTTGGTGAGACCTTGTTTCACAGTAAAAATAAAAAGAGCTGGGGATATAACTTAGTTGTTGAGGGTCCCTAGGTTCAATCCCCAGTATTGTACCAAAAAAGGGAGGGGTAGTTAGCAAAGCAAGTGTTCCAGAAAGCTACAAATAGTTTTGCCTACCTGGAAATAGTAACACATCTACTATCAAATGGCTTCAGGTTTTTTTTTTTTTTTTTAAGAGGATCTCATAAAAGATCACAAACAAAACATGCAAGCCTCTTCCTTAGACAATGTGGTACAGAGAACAATAGATCACATTGTCCACAGTAAGGCAATTCTGGGGGTCAGCACTGGTATGAGGACCTTTGCAAAGTTTTCTTTAGGGATGGAATTTAAAAACATATTACAGTTCCTTTGCCTTTATTTACATAAACATATGAGCAGATAATGTAAAAAGAAAACAGTTGTTACTCAGTATCAGTATTTTCAGTTCCCGAAACTGTGATTTTAGGGAAGCAAAGCAAGACAATTCAATGAAACTTAATTCCAGATACACACATAAATAGTTCACAGAGCAACACTTCAGTTTACATTGATTGTATCATTTGATCAATAGGACTAATTTTTTTTTTTTTTTTTTTTTTTGTACTGAGCCACATCTCCAGCACTTTTTATATTTTATTTTGAGATAGGGCCTCACTAAATTGCTGAGGCTGGCCTTGAACTTGTGATTCTCCTGCCTCAGTCTTCTGAATTGCTAGGATTACAGGTGTGAGCCACCATGCCTGGGGTAGGACTAATCATTCTTTCTAGTATAAGCTAGAAAATTGGGAAAGACTAAAATAATCAAAGTTTTGACTTGTAACAAAATTCTTCTTGGTACAACCATCAGATAATTTAGTTAAATTGTTAAGAAAAATAAAACATGAATGATATCTACCAAGTTAGATGCAAAACTATTTAATACCTACACAGCCATACAATCAAAACTCTTGGGGTTGCCTTTAGTTATGAATAGAAATTACTTGTGACTTATTAGTCGTCTATAGGCTAACATCTAACTTGAGCCTGGACCTTAGTCAGGAATAAATAGTCAGATAAAGTTTCCTTCTCATAAACTCTAGGATAGTACTGTCTAATAGAAATATGAGATATATGTATATAACTTTAATTTTCTACTAACTACATTTTAAAAACTTTAAAAAAATAAGTGAAGTCATTTTAAGAATCTTTTTTATTAGTTGTTGATGAACCTTTTTGTTTTATTTATTTATTTATCTATTTATTTATTTATTTATATGTGGTGCTGAAAACTGAACCCACTGCCTCAAACATGCTAGGCAAGAGCTCTACCATGAGCCACGACCCTAGCCTGGAAGTCAGTTTCAATAAAACATTTCATTCAAACCACTGTTAGGGTGAGCATGATGACCTGTGCCTATAGTCCCAGCTACTTCAGAGACAGAGGCAGAATGATCACTTGAGCCTACAAGTTTAAGACTAGCCTGGGCAACACAGACTGTATCAAAAAAATAAAACTAAACCAAAACCAAAACAAACAACAAACCAAAAAACAAACCCACAAAAAACTTCATTGTATATACAACGTTGTAATTGTAAAATATAAAAATTGAGATTTTGTTTGTTGTAGTTAGTTCTCAGTATTTTTAACACTTTTTTTAACCTTTTTTTAAAAGCTTTATTTTATTTTATTTATTTTTATGTGGTGCTGAGGATGGAACCCAGTGCCTCACACATGCTAGGTGAGTGCTCCATGGCTGAGCCACAACCCAAGCCCAACATATATATATATATATATATATAAAAATTCAATTCAGTTCTTCAGTTGTACCAGCCTCATATCAAGGGCTCAATAGCCACTTGTGGCTATCATACTGTCTAGGGTCTGGAGCACAAAGATTTTTAGGAGATCTTATAAATGTTCCAATACAGAATATAGAAAGGCACATGGCAAACTTGTTGCCTCAATTACAAGTTTTGGATAGATTTTCTTAAAAAGAGAGTATTTATAAACAGTGATATGGCACTTACTGAAAACTCTGGGGATGAGGCTCTGGAGTTAGATTTAGTTTGCTTTAGGAAAACAAAAACAAAAACGATGTGCTTTTCTTGCGTGGTCCAAAGCAGTATTTACTATTTCAACAGCAGTCTAGAATCTTAAGTGTGATTGTGGCTATTTTGTCAGACACTTTATTATTCTAAGGAGCAGCATAATGGAGCTTTTAAGTTCAACTGCACTTTACTTCCTGCCTTTTTTTTTTCAGTCCTAAATGTGTTCAATTTGACTAGTGTTTTAAATAGGTACTCTCAGAGAGGAGCAGTACAGAAAGAACAGAGAAAATGTGAGTTAATTTTATCTGCACAATTATAAAAATTTTTATTTTTGTAGCCTTTATTAAGAAAAAAATATATATCAGTAGTAGGCACAACAACATTAATGAACCCTCATGTACCCATTGCCCTGCTTTAATAATTAATATTTATTTGAATAAATACACCTATATATGAAATTATTCATGCTCAAGACACACATTTTTTGGCGTGTGTATTTTTGGTGGTGATGGGGTGGGGTAGTGCTAGGGCTCTAACCCTAACCCTCATGCAGCCAGATGAGCTCTCTACCACTGAGCTATCCCTGGTCCCCTCAAAATCTGGATGTTACATATCCTTTATTTATTAAAGAGATATTTCACTCTACAAATACTACAGGAAGAGTAATGAAAATCTAAATAAATGATTAAAAAATCACCCAAAGTGCTAATATCTCACAAAGTGTTCTTTCTGTGTAGAAAACTGAAATTTTAGGTAGCAAAGGAAAGCAAGCGTTTTAAGAGATGCATGATTGTGCTGAGACAGCTCATGACTCCTCTGCATGGCGGAATCATTTCAGACCAGGGCACTGTTTAGTCTCATAATATGTGGCTCAGTACAGCTCAAGTCTTCCTCTGCTTATGGCTCCAAACAAGTTGATTCAATTTCCTGAATTACAGTGCAATGGGCTTTTAATAGTTTCATTTCCTTTGCAATGAAGTTTTGAGAAGAGTTTAAGAGTCATTTTGGTAACAGGCTCTTGCTTTTGTTAAAAAAAAAAAAAAAAGTAGTTAAGTGAATTTTTGTCTTAGGAAGGTGCCAGGCTCCTTGGGTAAGAGAATGTGGTCTGGGAGACATCTGCCACAGGTGAAAGGAGGCTTTGCCCTCAGTTGTTCAACTTTGTTCACCCAATAAAGAAACCAGACTGCAAGGAAAGCAAGACAGGAAGCTCTGAAACACTAACATTTTTCATGTCACAAACATCCTCCAGAAGGATCTGCACGTGGTAAGAACCCCTGTTAGCTCTCCTGTGAAGGAAGTTTAGTGTCACCTCTGCAGCTTTTATTTTTATTTTTATTTTTTTTAGGGGGAGAGGGTAGGACAAAACAACACAATGGTGATGGGTCGTGGGGAACAGTGGGGGAGAGGTAGGCAGGAAAAGAAGAGACTGTCAGAGAAAGGGAGTGCAAGAAAGGAGGGTGCTGAGCAATGGCAAGGAAAAGTGGGGAGAGAACATGGGAAATGAAGGAGAGGAGAAGGGAAAGAGGGAGAGAGAAAGGGAAAAGGGAGACAGTGGCAAGAAGAAAAACAGCTCTGTAGTTCTGAATCCTGGAAGGTTAGCACAGATCCCTGGCACCTGTGCAAGTCTTCTCTAACACTGATGATTTCTTTTTCTGTTTCAAAGAATACAAGACCTAGTTCATTTTGTTTTCTAGAAATGGAATGTAACACTGATGATTTCTAAAGCAAAACCAGGAACTCTGGAATCAGGCCCAGGTTTTTGAATCTTGGCTCCATCCCTCAGCTATGTAATTTTGGGCCTTGGTGTCTTACCTGTAAAATGGGAAAAGGTCTATCTCACTGTTTCCAGAGATTAGACGATTTCAGCACTTTGCCTATTCCCTGGATATGGACCTGGCATTCGATAAATTTTATCCCTCCTCTCATTTCCTTTCTTCTCTCATTGCCCCAGAGTGCAGTTACTCATCAACAGTTCAGGGAAATAAATGCATTCATGGTTTGACATTTCTTTAAAATTAGTTCTGTCTCCTAATAAAGCTAGAGAGAAGCACAAGAGATTTCACTTCTACTATTAGCAAGAAACAGAATGCATAATTCAACAAGAATATTAAGGAGGAGAGACAAGGCACTCATTTTACCCAAGAATATGAACCTTTTGAGGTAATACTTTAGTAGCAATCATAATTATCCAAATGAAGGATGCTTATAATTTATTAGTAATGAAAACATAAAGGGGGAACAGCTTGGGTCCCCTGCTACCTCTGGCATCTCTGAGGCAGCACATACAAGCTCCCATGGCCTTTCAACCTTCCAACTCTGGGAAGCAGGGCCAGAGACATCTCCTTCTAACACTGAGTAACAGTCATGCGGGCAGAGAGCACCCGGCCAACAGGGGATGATGACCATGCACCTAACAAGCTCAGCGGCCTGCTTTAAAGCTGGACTTTGAAACCTTTCCTTCCATGGCCTGCAGCACACTCTTTGTTTTCTATGAGAGTGAGGAGATGGCGGG